ATCTTGCTTCTGAAAAACTATTTGGAGAATAAGGAAGACGTTCTAAGGGCAATTAAGCGTTGTGGTGGTCGGATCCTCTGCTATGATCCGGAGAAGATACTTCTGCCGAACATAAAGTTTATGCAAGAGTTAGGAATTGTGGGTCCAGAGCTAGTGAAATTCTTGTCAAGGTATCCTCAGCTGTTTAATGGACATCCCAAGAGGACTGAAGAACTCGCAGAGAGAGTTAGAGAATTGGGTTTCCCTTATTCAAATATGTTTTTCTATGCCATGCTTGCATTGAGCTCCATTAGCAAAGAGACATTGCAGAGTAAAGTCGAGTTTTTCAAGAGTTATGGGTGGTCAGAAGATGATGTCTTTTCAGCTTTCAGGAGGAATCCCCACCTGTTATCTCTCTCTACAAAGAAGTTGAGGAAAGGTATGGACTATTTCACTAAAGAAATGAAGTTCGATAAGCCTTTTCTGATTGCTCGTCCAAAGCTTTTCTTTTTTAGTTTAGAGGGAAGGGTTATTCCTAGGCGTAAAGTGACGGAAGCTTTAAGATCTAAGAATTTGTTGGAGAAGGATGTGGATTTTCAAGGAGTTTGGTCAAAGTTGGAGAAGAAATTTTTGGAACAATATGTTTATTATTATAAGGATGAAGCAGAGAACTTGCTTCGAATCTATAACGAATGCAAAGAAAACCCATTAATTGGCGTTTAAGATTATTGGCTTCTCAGAAGTCATGCAGTAAGAAATCAAAAAATTGTTTTTGGTTGATCGGCTGAATTCAGTAATTTTTTACATCAATTTTGTGAAATCTCGCAAGTGTGACTTTTAACATCCATTTTGTGAGTTCTTACAATTGCGAATGATTATATAGTTCTAGTTATGAACTTTTTATTTGGTTTCTGTATTTAATTTTATCTCTTTATTTTTCTTGGAATTCTTATTGGGTCAGCACTTCTTTAGAGATAGAATGGCTGCTAACATTGAGATGCTATTAGGGGATTTGAGTTTTAGGGATAAAGTTGGTTTGTTTGTCTGTTACAGCGAAATTTGTCTTCCTCATGGCTTAAAATAACATGCTTTATCCATTTTTTCACCCTTATTATTGATAAAAATGTTCACCACCTTTTGATTCCCGGAGTCAGTGAGTGAGCTATTTAATTTGGATGTTCAAGTTTTCCATATAATCGATTTTATGAAATTAGAAATGTGACGCAATTGTATTCACTATACATAAATGTGGTGCAATCTCGAGCTGCCTAATGGTGCATTCTGTCATGAATTCTTATTGAATTTTGTGGGACTAGCTTTCAATTTGAAATTTGACACTGTTCTTAACTGAAAACAAATGCATATGATTATCTCAATGTGTCATGGAATTTGCTAAATGTGAACATATGGAAAAGTGAGAGGAATAGGCATGGCCTTTAGCTATCCATAATTCATTATTGATGAATGTGACTCCTAAATCTAAAAGACCTTCAACTAAACCCCATACAATAAATTTCCATGTCTCTCTCTTTCTTAGGAAAATCATATATTTCAAAATCTCTCTCTCTCTCTCTCATGGTCTCTCTCTTCATAAATATTTTTTGGATATGTATCTCTTGTGATCTCCATTAGATAGAATTACATATAACCTTTTTGCCCCATTATATGTGTGCAAGTATTAAAATATAACATACGAAATCTATGGATAGGGCAATGCAATAGGAAATTAATGTATGTATCGTATTTCTTTGCCGATCCTTCCATTCCATCCATAACCTCCATTGGCAGAGACAAAGCTCCTGGGCCCGACGGATTCCTCATCGCTTTTTACACCCACTTCTCATAAATCCTTCTCCCTGATATCTCAGCCTTTATCCAATAATTTACCATAGAAGCATTATGTACAGAGACATGAATAGAACTTTCATTGCCCTAATCCCCAAGATTTGATTGAGTTTATGATCTTAAGGATTGTAGGCCCATCAGTCTTCTGAATTTCTCCTGCAAAATTCACTCCAAAATCTTGGCCACTAGGCTTAGAACAGTGCTTGATCGAATCATCTCTGAAATCCAAAGTGGTTTCGTCCAGAGCAGGTAGATCTTAGGTAGTGCTGTCATTTTACCCATGAAGCATTACCACCACCAGACTAGGAAACCTGGCCTCATCCTCAAACTTGACTGGGAGAAGGCGCATGATCATGTCGATCGGTCCAATCTCCTCTCCGTCTTCTCGAAAATGGGGTTTCATAAAAGAATGGATCTAGTGGATACATGCCTGCACTTCCACCACCTCCTTCTCCATCCTCATCAATGGCACACCTAAAGGCTACTTCTCTTCTGCCAGAGGTCTCTACCAAGGTGGCCGTTGTCATCCTTGTTGCATCATTGCATGCTAATTTTCGAGATTCTTGGCAGATCTTTATCTTGACTCTACCATAGGCGCACATTGGAGGGTTTTAAGATCCTTTAGGCTCAGCAAAGATATCTGCAGTATGCAGACGACACTCTTGTTTTCTTGGATGTCTCCTTTGAGCAAATTGACAAAATTTGGACCTTCTTTGATGTTTCGAACTCGCCACAGGTATGAAGATCAATTTGGCCAAATCCAAACTTATGGATATCCATTTCACTGGATGACCTAATTCATCTCCACGCTGATAGATTGGTATGTGGTACCGACAATCTTCTGACCAAATAACTTGGCCTTCCACTTAGGAAATCCCCATGGGACCTTATGGTTGACAATTTTCATAGACTGGCATCCTGAAAATGTTGTTTCCTCTCTCTAGGTGGCAGGATCACCCTTATCAAAGTTCGTTCTCTAGCATTCCAATTTATGCCATGTCTCTCTGCATCATGCTGGCCTCCACTGTAAACATTCTCAACGGACTGATGAGGAATTTCCTCTGGCTGATAGACAGCTCCAAGAATAGATAAAGCCTGCCAACCCAAAAAAGCTGGCGTCTAGGAATCTGTGATACGAGCCTCCTTGGCAAATGGTGGTGGCGCTTTGCCACCAACCACAACTCCCTCTGGCATCGCAGTCTCAGCCAAAAGTACGGCGCTGATAGCATGGGACTGGTTTCTCAAAGAGAATCCTAGGACAGCTACCCCTTCTGCTCTTTTCAAAAGCATGTTCTCTTGCCAGGAAATTTTTATGCTGCTAATTTAATACAGGGTTATTTCAGGTACCAATTTTCTCTTTTGGAACCATCTATGGATTGGGGACCACGCCTTGAAAGACCTTAGCCTCTGACCAAAATGCTACTCTTGCAACTTATTTCCAACAAAACACCAGCCAACTCATTTGGACGCACATGAAGAGCCTTACCAGACCTCCTCAACAACCTATCCACCTTTTTCATCAAGGAGAAGGGCCGGACAAACCTATTTGGTCCAAAAAACATTCCGGAATCTTCCTTGTTTCTTCGTTTTACAAAGCCATTGACCCTAACCAGACCCCAACACCATCCTCTCGCCTCAAAGCTTAGGTCACTGAAACCCCCTCCTAGGGTCCGAGCGTTTTCTTGGCTATCCATCTCTTACAGAAACCTCACCCTCGATCAACTCCAAAGACGAGGCTTTAACCTTACTATTAGATGCCATCCATGTAAAGAAGAGGAGTCTCACTCGAGCCTGTTCATTCACTATCATTTTCCATACCCAGTGTGGAGCAAACATATCAGCAATTTCAACTATTGGTGGATCACCCCACTGAGTATCCAACCCATTCTCAACCTACTTCTCCCCACCCTTTTCTGTTGCGATCTTATTCCTTTGGAGAGCATCCATCCAAGCCACCTTATGGTATATTAGCAAGGAATGAAATGCTCGTATTTTCTGCGACTCTAGAAGCAGCACAACCGCGACAGCTGAGAAAGCTAAATCAATCACTATCTTTTGAGCTTCTAGCTGCAAGTTATTCAAGGGTGTCTCAAGTTCCAACTTTGAAAATAATTGGCTGGAAATCTCCAGGTCAAAACACTCCAAAGTTTCTTGCTCGAGCACTTGGAACCCCTCTCAATGTGCCATATAGGGAAATATTGATGGATACTCCTCGGGCAACCTCATTCTATGCGGAGCTGGAGGAATTTTCAGAGATCCCAATGGAAATGTTCTGCTTTCTTTCTCTCTACAAATCGGCCATGGAAACTCCAAACTATCTGGTGGAGAAGATCCTCTTGCTATTACCCATATAAGTGCCTACTGAATTTCAAGAGTGTCTCAACATTGCGATCGGTTCATGTCCTCTGACTTCTTTGCACAAACCCACTCTCTCTCCTCCACCTCCATCCCAACCCTGTGCTTTTTTCCTTCAGTATAATTGTTGTACGGCTCTCTACGGCTATGGTATCACAACTATTATGGCTCTCTACAATGTTGGCCATCGTATCACATCTAGGCATACATAGTTTATCTCCCATGGTATCACCTCTAGGTGTATAGACTTTACCTCACTAAGGCCTGTGGCATGCAGCCATGGCATTCTGTGCTGCCTTGTTTTTGATGAGATATACGATAGAGATAATTTCTCCATTTTCAATCCAGTCACTGCCCAGTGTAACCGTATTCCAAAATTCTATGGTAATTTATGTGTTTTTGACTTTTGGTTTTACTTTGACCCCAAGAACTGCATTTTCAAGATCTTGGTCCAATTCATGAAGTTGTTGTAGAACTGGGACTCAGGAAAAATCGAATGCTTAATACTTGATTCATCACTAGGAGCTTGGAGGGAGCCAAAGAACCCTAAACTGATATGCCATCTATCATCTGATTGGATACATGATTGGAGGATATCACCATGTATGCTACATCCTTTGCTTTCGACATGGAGACAAAGAAGTGGGAGATTGTGAAGAACCGACAACCTATAGGAAAATACACACACATTAGGATCCTAGAGTGGGATGGTGCCTCTTGTATTGCATGTATAAACTTGGGTTTGGAACCCGAGTGTTGTCTAACCAAAGAGAGTAAGTGGGTGGGGGCACATCTCCTTGCAATTGTGCCTGCAAATGTGAGTAACAATTCCAATCCACTCCGTTTACTAGGAGAATTGTTTATCTTATCCGAAAATGGTGAGATATTAACATGTGATAAGAATGGCAAGTTGAGTGAGATATTAACATGTGATGAGAATGGCAGATTGAGAGGGGACGGTCCTTGCTATAACTTTGCCCATTACAAGCCTACTTTATATTCTTGGGAGTTTGGTCAGAAGATTGAGGGTGCTAGCTGAAGATCATTAATGTAATTGTACATTACAAGCCTACTTTATATTCTTGGGAGTTTGGTCAGAAGATTGAGGGTGCTAGCTGAAGATCATTAATTTTGTACATTACAAGCCTACTTTATATTCTTGGGAGTTTGGTTTGTTTCTTGGGAGTTTGGTTTGTCGAGCTTATGCAAGAAATTGGTTCTTGTCTAGATAAGAGTTCAGAGAATTGGGTTTCATCACTTATTCGAATAATTTTGCTATGCCATGACCGCATTGAGCTCCATTAGCAAATAGACATTGCAGGGTAAAGTCGAGTTTTTCAAGAGTTACGGGTGGTGAGAAGATGATGTCTGTTATCTCGCTCTACAAAGAAGTTGAGGGAAGGTATGGAGTATGGACTATCTCACTATTGAAATTAAGTTTGATAAGCCTTTTTTCATTGCTCGTCCAAAGCTTTTCTTTTGTAGTTTAGGGAAAGGTGATACATAGGTGTAAAGTGATGGAA